GACGAGTGGCGGCACATCTGGAATCCTGAAAAAGTCCACAAAGGCGGCGGTTTCATCATTGTGGAAGCTCCTGTTGGCAAGCCACCAGTTTTCTTCAGGGACAAATCATCGTGGAAGCCACTTTTTGAAGAACTCGGAAGATTATGAGATAAACGTGATACGAACCATTCCTCGAGGTCTTGAAATAGTCAGCGGACTAGGGAAAAAAATCACCGCGGAATCGAATTTCTTTCTCATGCAGAAAGCAGAAAAAACAATGTTGAAGTCGACATTAAAACCCATTACGAAACTTAAGAATGCACTTGGACTCATTTTCAAATTCGGAAAAAAAAACCTGAAGACAATAAGTCGGCGAAAAAAACCTTCCAGGTCTGAACCAGCATCTCTGCAAATATTCAAAACTTTGAAGTGGCTGGAATAATAATAAACAATCACAGGATCTCACCAGTTAAAGAACTGGCATCCCTTTTAAAGGCTCAGAAAAAAAGAAAGAAAAAGAAGGCACAATTCGTTTTTACAAAAGGGCGTTGGTGTATATAATTGCCAAGCATTCAAGCAAAGCAAATACGTACATCGAATTCCTATCACTGCTGACGAAGCAAATTTTGCAACATAATTTAAAAAGCCCCCGAATTTAAAACTTGAAGTGCTGGCTTTCCTCTTCTTTCATTCTCAACAACGGGGTTCCCGTGGTGGGNAAATATGCGAATCAATCAGAATCAAGCATTCACAAATTATTTTTAATTTTTTAAAAACACATTTTTAGCATTGTCGGGAGCCGTCAGTGGATTGACCAGAACCCATTCTGACATCGGAGGTTACACCTCCTTTTTCATCGCCTTGCAAAGGGACACCGAATTACTGATGCGCTGGGCCGAACACGCCGTGTTTTCACCGGTCATGAGAACCCACGAAGGTTGAAAACCCGAATTTCTTTTCAATTTTGTTTTTTTGGTCAATTTTTTAATCTGTTAGGGAGATTCTGTTACTGCATTCTATGTGCGAGACATCTCGTCGTAGAAGCCTGGCGAATCAGCAAAACATCGTCATTGTATAGTTGAATGGGATTTCGATTTTGCTCAAATAATACATCACCTGTATACATTGATTTAAAATTCTTCCATTTTGCAAAGAAAAAAAGCCGCAAGAATCAATGAAATAATATTCGAAATCTTGAATACAATATTCAAGTCTCAGGGAAGCGGTTTATTTTTTGTAGATATGTCGGTCTGAAATCGTTACATTTGCAATTTTCGTAGTGCACGAAGAAATTTATCCTTTTTCTCGCTGATTGCAGCTGTTTCAGGAACAAATTATAGATTACAGTATATCGTAAAATTTTTGAAAAGCAGCCAAATGTGGGAAGATTCCTGGGGGAAAATATCTCAAAGATGCGAATTTTTTAAGGAAGTTTTCCCTGATCATCCTCATAGAGATTACATAATTCAATGTTATCCAATTTTTTTTCCAAGAACTCAGCGAAATTCTGAGATGTGATCAGTCGAAGGAAAGGCGAAGAAAATTTTGATAAGCAGCAAATTAATATAGATGGAAATCGACCCCAATGGATTTATCCACCTGCCTTGCGTGTGTAAATGTTTTGGCGACTCGCCGGAATCTGCAGAAACTCCCTTGAAATATATATTTTTTGCAAATGTATTTTATTTAGGTAGCAGTCCAGAAGCCAATGAGCAAATTTATTCGGATCCTGCGATTCTGTCTGGGTTCGCACGGCTCGTGAATCTGTACGTCACTTTGTCCCCGTACACAAAGGCGGTTCTCAGTGACAGTTTCAGCAAAGGTTAGTTTTTAATGAACGGGATAGAATTTTGGCTTTATGTATTTTGACAGTGACTTGAGAAATATTGTCCATCGTATCAGGTTATCCCGTCATGAGACCGCTTTTCTTCGAATACGAAGACGACCCTATTGCCTACGAACAGCAATACCAGTACCTACTCGGACCTGATTTGCTTGTTGCTCCTGTCCTTCAAAAAGACGCCGTGAGTTTTGAATTGGAATCTTCCTTATGTAATTTTACTGACAGGTAAATTTTCGATAAACAAGTTGTCTCTTCTGATGTGACGAGATCATCTCTGAACGAGTAAGCAGCAGCTCAGCTGTACGAAGTTATTACTGACGAACTAAAAACATGTGATATTCTGTTAATCAACCATGTACAGTATATTAATATAGAATTCACCTGTTTTATCAGAGGAAAGATATAGACCGCAAGTTTTGTGAGAAAAAAATTTTTGAACTTGAAAACAGCTGTTCAGAAAATATTTTAATCTGAAATGTAAAAGATGTAATTTTATTTATATCGCGTGAGCACAATTTGTAGGAAGCTCTGATATGAGAAAATAACTAAAGAAAAGAGCAGCGATTTAAATTCGAATGATGAAAATTCGAGAAGTCGAAATAAAACTTTTAGGCATGGCTTTGATACAATTTCAATAAAAATAGAAGCGGACGATCATTCAAATATAAAAGACGCAATTCTTAGCCTTTAACGGAATGGCTGAGAAGTTCTCAATTTTTTAAGGTAGCTTGTACTGTTGAATATTGCTGTTGGCAGAAACAGGAACACTGAAATCATTGTTAAAAATTCCCGAAATAATTTTGAAATATTATAGGCGACTTGGGAAGTCTATTTGCCGCCAGACGAGTGGCGGCACATCTGGAATCCTGAAAAAGTCCACAAAGGCGGCGGTTTCATCATTGTGGAAGCTCCTGTTGGCAAGCCACCAGTTTTCTTCAGGGACAAATCATCGTGGAAGCCACTTTTTGAAGAACTCGGAAGATTATGAGATAAACGTGATACGAACCATTCCTCGAGGTCTTGAAATAGTCAGCGGACTAGGGAAAAAAATCACCGCGGAATCGAATTTCTTTCTCATGCAGAAAGCAGAAAAAACAATGTTGAAGTCGACATTAAAACCCATTACGAAACTTAAGAATGCACTTGGACTCATTTTCAAATTCGGAAAAAAAAACCTGAAGACAATAAGTCGGCGAAAAAAACCTTCCAGGTCTGAACCAGCATCTCTGCAAATATTCAAAACTTTAAAGTGGCTGGAATAATAATAAACAATCACAGGATCTCACCAGTTAAAGAACTGGCATCCCTTTTAAAGGCTCAGAAAAAAAGAAAGAAAAAGAAGGCACAATTCGTTTTTACAAAAGGGCGTTGGTGTATATAATTGCCAAGCATTCAAGCAAAGCAAATACGTACATCGAATTCCTATCACTGCTGACGAAGCAAATTTTGCAACATAATTTAAAAAGCCCCCGAATTTAAAACTTGAAGTGCTGGCTTTCCTCTTCTTTCATTCTCAACAACGGGGTTCCCGTGGTGGGTGCTTCGGTTTTTGGCTCAGATTTCTTTGGCACAGATGAAAACATTGGCATCGACAATTGTCGGTAAAGTGATCGCTCTTTCAAGCCCTTCAACGATTTCGACAACGAAGACTCTCTCTTTGGTGGTGCTGTGAAGACAAAATTCAAATTTTCTTGCGTAAAAATATTGTCAAATGGCAATATCCTCATGAAAGAGAAAAAACTTCCACTGAAAGTATTTAAGGTTCAATTTCAGCTCACTGTCAAAGAAACCGCTTTCAAAGTAAGGAATAAAGCTCGTCAGAAAATATCGAAGAAGCTTCATGCATGGTAAACTATAGAACATTTTCTTTTTGCTTTTGCTGCTAATTTCAATGTCTGTTATACGAAAAATCGCTCAATTCAGCGGCCCTCACGAGTGGGCTGGCATAGATTTTAAAAACTTTTTGCACCTGAAAACTGCTATTTCGAACATTTTTCATAACCATGTTCAGCTCCATGAGTTGCATTGGTGTGACAAGCATTCACTATTTTTAACCAGGATAGCTCAAAGAGATTCTTATTTCATCGTATCCAAACACATTTTGATATCTACAGTGGGATTAAACAGCTTCGTAACGAAAATTTGTCAAGTTTTGTTTTGCACTTGAACTTTATTACCTATAAGCTTTCTAAGTTATTAAACCTCCATTTTTCAAAATTTAGTCACAATCTAAATAAGAAATACGGTAATCTAATGAACACCTATTCAAATTCGAGGCTTTTCCCCACCAAACCCTTATACTACTGCACCTTCAATTTCTGGAGGCCCTTCGTCTGTTATTTTGGGACCCCACAAAGGAGAAGAGCAATAAAAATGCAACCTGATTATTTTCAGTTGGAAGTGATTGAGTAATTGGAAATATGTACTCTTGCCTCGGAATTCAGCATAATTTCAACCTTTTTATCCTGCATTTTCAGATCCAGAATATCACCAACTTTACCTTAATGTAATTCTTGACTTTTCCCCAAGCAAAAATGCCGGTTTGTCTAACTTAAAAAGTCTCAAAGTCAACCCTCTTCATGAGTTTGAAAAAGATTTTGCATGTGCACTGGAATCAAATCCAGCAGGAATTTATCTGTCATTAGAACTCAGAGCAATCGAGAGAAAGAAGAGTTAGTATAAGATCACAGTCACATCTCACTCCGATTTGGAATTTCATATTGATTAGATGGGAGGCAGTAAATTTATTCTTTTTTTTACAAACTTTTAGGACCTTTTAAACACTCGCACAACAGCCCAAGTAGTATCACAGTCCGAGTAAAATTGCTCAAAGTCACGAATTGTCACATGTAGCAACTAAATTTTTATCTACTTTGGGCGAGTAGAAAAAAAGCTTCTATTCATTGCCATTCCACCAAAAGAAAAAAGTAGGTCGCGGAAAATTTTCTCCCGCAAAAATACAATCCGAGATATATTTTGAAATACTTCATCGCTTCCGAATCCCTCAATAAAAAAAATACAATCTTCTTGTTATTTTAAATATCCTCCGACTCCTTGGGCACAAATTCATCACCAATTTCATACCTTGACAAACGCTGGGCTATATAGCGACGGCACAAACTCCACACAACAGCGCGCGAGGCTGTAATCTCGGGTCTGCTCTTACGCTGTAACTGCGCCACATGTCGAACTGGGTGTCGACAAAAACCCATCGAATAGGGAAGCGGGATAAAGACGAAGCACGCATATGTGTAGAAGGATTCCGAGTGTCCGGGGCGTTTCGAAGACCACTTTTCTGCCTGGGCGGCTCTGATAAGCTTCACGGGAAATTCGAAGTGCGAAGAACGCGCAGCAGTATATATACTGTATATACGACACCGCGAGGATTGTAAAAATAAACGGATCTTGTCGAGCGACGTTGAGTCTCAGATTATGTTCCTTCAAGCATAGAGTAATCAAAGCCGTATTTGCATTCTGAATGGATAACAGCATATACTGTATGTACCCTCCTGACAAATGTTCAGTTTGCAGCTGACAGTGATGACTGAGCCGGAAATTGCATCTGCGATCACGGAGTTTTCAAGCTAGTTCTAAAGGCAGTAAACTGATTTGATTGCAAGAAACTGAATGAACATGAAGTGCTGCAAAGAAAGGCTGGTAAAATTATGACCGGTTAATACACTCCTGAAACTGAAAAAATGCTAGTACCATATTCACTCAAGTAACACACACATTTTTTCCAAAATTATGATTTAAAAAAAATTTAATAGGCACGCGTCATAATTGAATAACTTTGGGTAAATTTTAAATCTTCAGCAAAATTTTCACAGCTAAATCCAGTCAAACGAATCAATGCAACTGAAATAAAGCCAATGATGATATAAAATGAAAATTATTGACTATATAAATCAAATTTAGGTTAAATCTAGGTCTAAATTCAAATATTCTTTGTAGTTTTAATAATGTACTCGCAAGACACCGATTTTCATCAACTCAAAAGTAAGTTTAGTGTCTTACTTGGGAATATTTCCAAAAAAAAAAGGAGCGGGAAATTTATTTGAAAGGAGGTGGTACTTGAGTAAGTACAGTACTGAGTTCAGAGTAAAGGTCCACAGCTGATCATCTCCCATTTACTGCTTTCTTTCCACTAAAAATTTGAATGTTGAAATAAAAAAAAATCTCATCCTGGAGGGTGACCAAATGCCGTCCATTTTCTAAAAATGCTGAACAAATGTCAGATTTATAGGTAATTAATTGGAATTCAATCAAGAGACCCTTTCTGAAATCATAGAGGATCAAGATAAACTGTTGTCCTTATCTGATTTATTATCAAAGATTCTCTCTAAATTGTTCATTCAACTAAACCTTATCTGGGAAAAAGCTGAAGACCTTGTGCTTTAAATTGGGTTCAGTAACTGCTGCAATTGTGATAATTCCGGCTTATGCTGCAATTCTTATTACTGATATTTAGTTTTCAATGTCAGGTAAAGAAGGGGTGTACGCAAACACATCAGTTGTGCAGTTGTACATTGTGGAATGTATTTTCTTGTATTTTGGTATCCATTATACAGTATAGCTTTTTTTCTCTGTTTCCCATTCTGAATAAGTGATTGAATGCCTTTGAATGGATTTGGGTTGGGTGGGGAGGGGGTTTGGATGCAAAAATGTTGATTGAACTTTGAATGCTGAAAAGCAGAAAATAAAGCTTTCTGTTCATTCATTCACAAGTAATTATCTTCCTAATTGTCATAAGGTCTCTAAAAGAAAAAGTACACAACTGCACGCACGTTATGTATATGTTTTATTTATTGGCGTAAAAAAACATTCGTATTTTTCGAGCATGCTTGTGAAAAAGTATTTTACTGAGAAAAAGTCGTGCTGAAGGCCATAAATTTATTATTTTTTATCTGGGAGTGGGATCGATTCCATTCTCACAGTGACGAGCCCCTACAAAAAAATTAGAAAATAGAGAAGAAATCCCAACCTTGGGATTGGACGAATATTTACCAAGCTGCTGCACAGAGCCCATCATTAGCATTCTTTCCGGTTTTATATTCGTGGCTCAATTTCTTCCGCCTCATGCTTCCTCTGCATATATTAAACACATGCATTTTATCCTGTGCAGCCGACTGCCTCGAAATTGATGACTGCCAAGCATTTTTAAAATTCGATAGAGGATAGTTACGAAGCTGGGGATTTTAGAAAAAAATAGTCGGAAGATGGGCTCAGGAAATAGCTGCGATTGCACGTCTAAGGCAGGTGGAAAATGATTTTACTGCCGAATCCATTTGCATTTTGGAAGGAGTGACACTGACTAATTTCCTGCTGCGTGAACACCGAGAACTTTTTCAAGCAGCATTTTAAAGTTGGAAATGCAACCGACAACAAAACTGGGATGGTCATAATACGTCATGCTTATGTTGATTTCTTTTTCTGTGTAGGTTACGGAAGTTCATCATTCAAGGGAAAAATATATATGTTTTATGAACGAAGCATACCGGTTTAATTTAATAAATCTATATGTACAGAAGCTGTAGGTTCATTCCGAAAAAATTCCTATTAATTACGAAAGACAAGGACAACGTGTTTCATGCAGGAAGCGGTAAAATATTTCTTCCGATCGGCTCCACGATGCTTCATGGTTCAGAACAAATGTTTTCGTATAAGTGACGTCGTGAGGATGCCTCTTAATTAACGCATGTAGAGTAGACAGTACATTCCTTCAAGAAGAAACGAGTGTCACGGTTGAACGATGGGATTTTGACTCATTTTGACATTAAGTGGGTCCAAAATTATTTTCTCTTCAGCCTTAGATTGATTACAGGCACGAACTATTCTCGGACAGAAACGTATCAGTGATGCTGAACACAAATTACGATTCTTTAAAAAATGTTTTGCCATGAAGCAAATCAAATCCCCACAGATTACATGCATGAAGAATCAAAATCATTTCGAGGGAACACGAGAATATTTTCTGATTACATGCTAAAAAAAAAAACAATGAACTTCTCTCGTGAAGGGTTGAAATCGAAAAAAAATTAGCATTTGCAAGCGTGAGCCCAGAAATTTTTTTCACTACAATTTTATCGGGGTGTTTATGAAAAATGTATTGCATTTTAGAGGGGAATGTTCCTAGTGTCGGTTTAATAACGTGTACAAGCATTGTTTCATGTGCTGAGCCACAGCAACTTCTACAGTATTAATCATATCTGTGTTTTAAAATAATTGAACTACTGTATGATCGTAAGAGCTTCGTAAGTTCCAATTTGATCTTGGAAAACTTAATTTCAAAGCACTTCTACTTCAAAATACGGTCAGAAGCCTCAGAGTTTTCGAAGGAACACACCTACTTCTTATTGTCCTTTTTCACTGAGTATCTTAATGATGTCTCACGGATTTTATGCCTCATCTGAGTTTAAAACCCTGGAAAAATTGATGAAATAGCCTCTAGAACAGAAGGAAACGTTGAAATAACGTTTTTTTCAATCTCTTCAGGACGATAATTCACAAGATCCAAGGAAAAACCAAAAAGTTTCGAGGAATCCTCGTATTCCTACTTTATTTCGAATAAAAAAATCAATCAAACCACCCGACGATTTCACACTACAGATCCACTCAAGTGTGAAAAATACTAAACAAGTAAAATTACGCACAGCAATAATCATCTAATATTGCGCATGATGATAATGAACATGATCAAGTTTTTTTTCATGATTGACTCAGAACTGAAGAAAAATCGTGCTGACTCTCAACTGGAATGATTTATGCAATTCATATCGATAAAAAATTTTGAGTAAACTCCATCTTCCATATAAAAATACATATCACAAAGTTGCGACTCGTATGATTCACCTCAATAAGGAATAAAACCCGTAGCGTCGTGGTACCAGCTCATCACGATCGATGAACAATATTTCAAACGAATATGAATTGAATTTTTTTTTGCTAAAGGATTGTGTTTTCACCCAATAAATCGATCAACCTGGTTAATATCGATCGACTTTTTCATCACTCGTTCTGAACATCACGAGAAAGTCGGAAGCACTTTTAAAGTTTTATAGGCCACAGATAAATAAATACACCTGAGTTCGGCTCAAGACAAGCAGTGGATGCTTTCCGTCAGTGGAGACGATTCTTCTGATGAAAAATTGTGTTTGAATGTCGCTCTCACATTTCAGCACGGCTGGCATTTTGTTCGCAAGTGGATTGTTTTTGGCAGGAAACGGAGCATTCGCTCATGAACCGGTATATAATAAATTTGTTCCTATTAGAGTGATTAGTAAATGAAGTAATCTAATTTCGTCCCAACCAGGAACTTCCGGGAATTTGGGAAATAGTTGGGGATCATGGGCATTTTTGGCCGACTCGTGTCATCCCTTTCCGGTTGGACGATAACATCAGTAAGAGTTTTGCTTTTTATGCATCGCAAGCTTTCGGAATCGTCCTGTCAACACAATTCCGTTTTCATTTTCAGTATTTTTTGCAACAAACCGTCACTCACTAGTATTAACAGAAGGGAATTAACTTGACTAACATAACGATACATAGCTTAAAAATTATTATTTATATCTCAATAACGTGCCAACAGACAACGGAATCTGAAAAAAAGACATGTCGGAAAGAGCTCGTTTACGAGTATATACAGAAGAGTACAGTAATTATAAAGCCTTCATGAAAGCAACTTCATTTCAGGGGTGATTTTCTTTGAATATCCATGGTTATCATGCATTAAAACTGTGGAATTGAGTCCAAAACTCAACGTTTTTTCAATCTCTTCAGGACGATAATTCGCAAGATCCAAGGAAAAGCCAAAACGTTTCGGGGAACCTCGTATTCCTACTTTATAAAAAAAATCAATCAAACGACACAATTCAAAATATTGTACAATACTTTCAGTTTTCCATTGGTTAGAAGTTTTTTGAAAGTTGAATATTTATCCGTTGAGAACAATAATTTCTTACGAATCATTCGGTTTCCCTGATCATCGACGGAAATAATGAAATTCAAAATTTCCACAGCAACTGCAACTAAAATAAATATTGCACACTGGTTTCACAAGAAAAAAACCCAGCCAATACTGCAGAATTTTTTTTATAGAAAATGAGCGTAGGTCCAGTGAATAATGAAGGAGTTGAAAAATTAGTTTTGTTAATCATGCATCGAATTCATCGGATTTTGATTTGACAGGCGGACAGGAAGCGGCATCTATTTTCAAAGTATTGGATAGGATTAAGGGTGTGAGCTGTCTGACATTCGTCAAGAGGTCGAACGAGGTCAAGTTCCTATGGTTCATCAAGCCGAAGTGAGCACATAACCGCGTTCTAAAAAAAATGCAATGATGTCAACGGAGATATCAACTCATCGTTTCGACACCATAAATAATTCTTCATAATTTATCCTAGAGAAAAGGGCTCTTGTGGGTCTACCTTTGGGTACGATCCTCGTCCTGGAAAACCCACTATGATTTATCTGGGCAAAAAACGCTGCTTCAAGCAGGGCGTTCTGCTTCACGAAGTCTTGCATGGACTGGGATTTGGACATGAACACGCGAGACACGACAGGGACAATTTCATCAAGATCATTTGGTCAAATGTTCCTGAAGGTAATGTATACAGTACAAGCAAGGTTAAAAAATAGTTCAAATTATGAGGCATTTGCCAGAAAAAGGAGACCAACATTGATACATTTTTTTATGGAAAATAATTGTCTGGTTGACCAAGTGTCTGCCTGGTCTAACATTTAAAGCCATACACATCATGCATGATAATTAAGTTATATTCATGAAATATTTTTAAACTTTTCACAGACGAGACAGATTGCAGTTCATGTTCTGAGTGCCAAAAAAGCTGAACTAAGAATCAAAATACTGTATATAGATTCTTGCAGAATCTCTTTTTTTTAATGTTTACTTCATAATAGGTTCAAGAGCAGTCCCAAAATGCGATGCACCCATCCGCCATAGCTTTTTTACATCTAGACCGCAAATCAATCGCGCAATTCATCAGTTTTTCGAAAAAAATTCAATTGGGAAATTTTTTGCCAAGTATAAGAGTAAATTCTGTACAGCGATTACGTGATGAAGTGTACTTGAAGTACAATTTATACGAACAGATTGAAATTATGCTTAGACGGGCGTGAGACTACACCTCGCGATGAGATACGAGCGACACCTAGTTTAAAAGTAAAAGTGCAAACAACTTGAAGAATCGTAAGGTGGGATGAGTGTCGATAAAACAGAGGCATAAATCTACTCAACTCCTGCTCGACCCCCACATCCCCCAATATTTACGAACCACTGCTTCATCCATATTCCAAAAATCACAAATTAAAGTAATTCAATTCGCAGTTCATTAACACGGACACAAGCTAAAACCATACCAGTATCCATTGAAATAAAAATATTACATTTTATTTCATATGAAAGTTTTTTACAGCTGGTGTAGGTCGGTTCACTCGAACACAATAACTGCGCCGAGGTTTCTATACATTAACGAACACAAAAGCGCTGCCTGAAAGGCACCATATCAGATTTCACTCGACATACTGAAAAATATTTCCTCGAGTCACTGGACACTCACTGCACTTTTCCACTGCTGAACCAGCAAATGGAAAAATACACGGAGGAACCTAACATACGTCTGTCAGCATGAATGACAGAAAGTTTTGCACATCACCTCTCCAGTTCACCCACGCAGGCTCCACGTTCCATAATGAACTTGCCGTCCAATGTCAAAATAACACAGCTCTCTTATCGTGACCTTTGCTCGTGGAAAGAATTTAAAAATAAAGATAACTTCTCCATCCTCCAATGTCGTGTTTAACATATACAGGGTGAAAAAAAATAAAAATCATTTTGCTCAGCGGTTCATTTTCCAGCACTCGCGGCTGAACCTCGTACAATCAAGTGCCAAGTTCGACTTCATCCGCGCTGAAATATGACGATTTATATTTCGAGGAAAAAAGACAACATGTTTTTCGATCGATCAAAGAGATTCAAATGTTTGCAAAAAATTGGATTTATTTTTTGGATACCTGTTTGAAAAATGCGTTTCCAATTTTTTCAGGAAAACGTCTCCAATTCAAGAAACTTCCAGCGAAACTCTACCCTGTACACGGTCCCTACGACTTCTACAGCATCATGCATTATCCACTGTGGCCACGCTCACGTCAAAAGGTGAAAGGAAATCAAAGTATCGAGCCCATCACCCAGAATAAACACAGTTTGATTAAGCACAAAATAGGTCAAAGAATAGACTTGACTACGAATGACATCGAGAAGATTCGAGTAGCGTACGGCTGCAACAAAGCCAAAATGAATACGAAGTCTACCACGGTGACACGTGCGACATCTTCAGCCACTTCAACGGAAAGCTCAACTTTCGGGAAACTCGAAAGTAAATCGATGTCAATGTCAACGAATTCAACAACGCAGGAATACACGAGAGAATCGATACCAATAAATTCAACGACAACGACGGAGATACCTGAATCAATAGCATCGGAAAACCAGAACGACGCAACTCCAGCAGCAATGTGATATATTGAATGAAATTCAATGACATCCAGGGAAGAAATCGCGGCAACTTATCCCAAATGGAGTGAAATCAAAAAACAAAAGCTGATCGACACAAGAATTGAGCTCATGTGGAACCCGTATGTAAAAAAAAAAAAAAAAAATATCGAGAAAAATGGCATTTAAATGTCCAGAACAATTCAACGATTCCAACCTACAACGTTGATTTTCTTCTGGTCCACAAAATATAGCAAAAGAACCTCATTAAGTCAAACTTCAAGGGACTAGAAAAATAATTTGACTTGGGAGCAAGCATTTTTGTCGGGGAAGAGAAAGAAGAATTGCATATATAATTGTAATTGGTGATATATTTAGCCTTAAATTGCTTCTTGAATGAGCTGACAGGATGCTGAACTTATCAAGGGGTCATAGTCTTATTTCCGTTCAAAACACATCAATCGACAATTTTATTGCTTTCTCATTCCTGTGCGATAGCCAAAAGACCTCAAGAAAATTTGAATTTTGGAGTTTGAAGGGGGTTGACAAAGTTTGGGAGGTAATTATTCAATTGTTTTTTCAAGTGAATTCAGACAGGGACTCAAAAAATTTGACATAAGCCATATTATTCGACTTATAGAGAGATTCAAGACAAGAAGCTCAATTGTATTCCATCGCTGAAATAAAAATTGTGACGCTTCAGAGTTGACTTTTATTCGTCTATCGCAGTCAAGACACAGAGGTTTCATCTTCACTGACACCAGCCTGCATATAAGTAAGCAAATATATATATGACAAGCATTTCACTTCAGAGAAATAATAATATCAAGAGGCTGCCAGGGATATTTTTTGCTGGATTTCCATCTCAAGCTGTCAACTCTGGCTGCGGAGGTAGAATCGCAAATATTCCACACAAGAATACCACGGGATTGAACGAGTTCCAACTGTTTTCTCTGGCCATTGAACATCCCAGCCGCCCACATGTTTGACCTCGTCCGAAATCGTTGCCCGACGACCCGAACTGCATAGACGTTAACAGAAGAGGACAAATGCTGGGTCATCAATTTGGATTTTCGAAGAGCTCACATTAGCGTACTGCGTCGTCGCAAATTATTTTTTATGAATGGCAACGGAGACCTCCGAGAATTCCTCCATCGGAATGCATTAGTTTCATTTTTTTTTAGTAACCAGACCAGCTTCCTTTAGTCCTTCATAAATCGTACAGTACAGGTACTTCACTCTAGTAAACTTTGGTAAACGAAGAACGTGGACAATCGTTTTCTTGGTAAAAAAAAAAAAAACTGCGGGTTTTGATTGCGAATATTTTGCACAATGTTCAACTGAGAGGTTGACTATATTCTTCCCAGCATATAATTAATAGCGGTTGAATGATTTTTATCATTTTCCTGTAACCCTCAAATCGAAGTAAGGCGATTTTCGCGGAAGAAATGACGCATGAATACCCCAAGAAACGGCCAAAACGTTCCAAGAAATCAGTCTGTTCAAGTTGAGAAACAAACTTCATCACTTGGAAGTTGGAACATAGGGGAGAAAAAAGAAGATAGGAAATGCGTCGATTCGGAAGCTTAAGGCTCAACAAGAACCCGGGGATTGAGTGACGAGGCTCATAATTAGACCAGATGCGCATCGCAGACTTCAGTACCCAGACCAGGATGCCAAGATTCGGTTTGGTAAAAAAAAACGACTAGTTTTCCTGAAATTTTCGTGGAAAGAAGCCAAGAATTCTCGTCCTCAACGCGGAACAACTCGCACCTGCTTTTAAAAACCCTCATTCCGCAAAGGAGGGTTCAATATTTATTTTAAACGTTTTTGTTAATTAACTATTATAAGCGGACTCCAGTCATTAATGCCTTACAAATTCAACACTCTTTACCGGCGTAGTTTCAGAAATATCAGAAGCAGGTTTTAAGGAACAGAACGGGCAACACGAGGGACTGAAAAAACTCCGTCTTCCATCTGATTAGAAGATGAATATTTTTTTTTAATTTAATCCAGGAAACGGAATTATAAATTAAATACATCAAGAAGAGATCAAACTAAAACTTTTGCGAGCAGAAATGCGTTTATTGCTAGCAGTACGATAAGTATTCAAATTGGTCTCAAGCACTCCCAGTTGATTCAATAATTGGTTATTGCCAATTACCTGGATTTTCAGACCATTTATCAGAGGTACTCATTTCGTAATTTATTTCAGTTGCTTATAAATTAGTTCAATTATGGCAAATTCCTCAAGTGTTCGTTATTGTGACTCCGTTTGATTGAAATATCGTAAATTGCATGTAAGCTCTTTTCCAGCTAAGATTTATTGAAATTAATGTTTGAGTCCGACTATTATTACATCAACAGATATTTTTCACTCTCATAATTCTTCATTTCCAAAACAGTATTAATAATGATCGCATGTCCTGATGTACGGCATCTTTCCTGTATTTATAAATTAAATGGAAATTTTAATCCTTGCAGGATCGTATCATTTATTGCACGGAAAATAATGATTGACTTCGAAAACTAAAAATAGTGTTACTTATTGAGAGCAAAGTAACAACTATTGATGAGATTAATGGGCAATGACGGAATAAAATGATAGTCTGAGATTCTGTCAAATAAATTAACCGTAAACGTAATTGTAATAGCTCAAGGGAGAAAATGATTTATCACAATTCCTTATAAATAATTAGCATGCTGCTCAAAACTGTGCTAGAATATTTATTAAACAAGAAACCTGAAGATTAACAGCAAACGCAATTCTGAGAAAGCCTTTTGCAGTTCTACAACGCAACAAAAGAAAAAAAAGTATGAATAATAATAAATCAATTCATCTTCAACAAATCTTACAAGGGTCAATAAGGCAATACAGTACCTGTATATAAATATAAGCATTTGAACAGTTATTATCAATAAGTTGCTCAGGGTATATTTTTCTCTAAAATGAATTCCGACTTTTGATTCCAAAAGAATCTGTACAAGATGAAAATTGTGAATATCGCGACCGATTCTAAAAAAAAAACTCACACTTTGAAAATTTTCAGAGTTCAGTCAAGTCAGAAAAATGATTTTTCGATTCAATATATTCAGCATGCTTGCAGCACAGAGCATAGTATTCAGGTCTTCGAAGGGATCTCATCAGTGCTACAGTACAACATTACGTGCATGAATTCATCATTTACTGGGTGCCCAACAGGATCACAAAACGTTATGGAGCCGCACCTTGAGCCAACAAACCTGAGATCGGAACTTGGTGAACCGGATTTCTTCTTTTCTCGTGTGTTATGAATTCTCAGGCAGCAGCCGGCTTCTCGCCATTATTTCCATTCGTTTTCTCGGAGCTCGAGGCTCTTGAGGCCAACGGTTCTCATTCTTTCACTACTACCCGTTCGCTAAACAAGACGGTTCGAGTGCTTTTTTTTTTCTAGTACACTGTGGATTGACATTTATTCATGTGAAGTTAATGGAACGTGATTACTGGACAGTTAACCATCAACAGCACAAATATGCTTATAGGAATTCATTGATTCAATGTACAAGCCTCGAGCAGTTTAGCAAGAATCATTTGGATCGTTTGATTTCCACTCATTTTTGGTTCTCGGTGATACGAGGACGAAGGGAAAAAAGTTCCGATGCAGCTGGTTCGTGAATAATGAACAGTCCTAATTGCAGTATTTAGTTCTGTATGTTGATGTATCACATGAATGAGAAAAATTACCTTGGAGGAAAAATATTGCTTCGATGCTGATGCCTTATTACGAATTAACAGCCCTTGATGTACAAATAATGATCTCCGGAATATTAAATATTGATTTTCGGATTGCCGAGTTATCAAACAAACATCCTCTCGTTTCACGAAAAGAGGTTCTATCCCGTCCACAAAAATATTTCTACTAATATCCAGGATAATTATTTTAGTTTCGTAATGCTATAATTCCAGGGCTTGAAAATAATGAAATAAATTTTTATTATTAGAGTTTATTTTCGGACTTTTTTTGATGTTTCGTTTTAAGCCTCCGCTGAACAGATTTGTTTTCTCTCGGCAAACGTTTCAAAAAATTAAGTTTAATCATCTTTCGGAGCATATTTCCGAACTTCGTTGCTTCTTTCTCAAATTCATTTCATAAACTTGTTGCTGAGTTCAGGCGTCTCTGAAAATTAGGACTATCACGTTTTGAACCTCAATTGACGGATTAGCCTTTTCATGAACGGGGTTTTCCTGGCGTTTGATATAAGCTCTAAGAAAAAAAGAAAGAAATAAAAATGAATAAAATAAAATTTCCTGGACTCTCACAAGATACTTCAATAGTCTTGGAACAGGTCTTTCGTGACACGGAAAACGTATGTACATTGTGCATAAAATACTCAGATGAGAACCAAAGGATTACCAATGTATTTTTCCTTCTCAGGTACTGCATATACACATTATTATTCAGTAGCTTTCGACTTTTCATGCGTCCGGCAGGTGTCGCCTCAATCTCAAATACTTCCGGTCATTATCTATACACGGGAAAAGCCTGACACACTATCACCTGACGAAACAAAAACAAAACCTTAGAAAATGCAGGCTTTACCAGCCAAATATACAGAATAAAACTACGAACTTCTCCCAGAACTTGAGATTGAAAAATAAATTAAGAAACATTGCCAGTCGACAGTTTAGAAATCGTGACTCGAGGGCCTGAAAAATATATTTCATGTGATCGTCCGAGTGGGACGGTTGAATGATCACCAGCAGCATATTGTTCCAGTCACAATGTTTTTGAACAATTTATTCTTCCTTTTATTGTGTCAACTCTCTCAGACCGCTTCGCTCGTCGCACCTTTTCCTGATAACAACGTCACCAGACTCCCTTTCCTCCCTCTTATTTTTCACCATCAGCCGTGTTCTTCGACTTTCGCAGAAAATAAAACCGAGTGCGAAAAAAAAATTAATAAAGAGCCTGGAGTTCGAATATACTGGAAGGAAAGGTGAAACACACACGCGAACACGGATGCCGTGGATTTAGTGCTTTACGCTTGGCGAGGGAACAAGTGAATATCCCGGAAAAATTATGTGCGCGAAAAGAACAATGAATGTGTTGGAAGTGCTAGGGTTCATGAATGCTTTTTTTGTGCCAAAACCGCGAGACTTCTTGCCAGTGATCATCTCCAAGTGCAGTGCTAAAGTTGAATGACTATGACAATCATACGGGATTCCGCGAGGAATTTCACTCATGGAAATCAGTCTATGGAATGATCATTTTGCTGGCTGGTCAAAAAAATAAAATGAGGCGCTTGTCTTGGCCTCGGTACTGAAGTCCACAGGACTCCACACAGAACCCGAGACTTGAGTCTTTCAAACTTGTACTACCAAATATTATCTATTGAAAGCAAAAATCAAATTCGGCATTTCTTCTCCAAAGTTTGCAAACAAAGCCAAAACGGCACACGAATATTTCAGCAGCATGTCAAATGTCACCAAAATGCAATTGCTATGAAAACTCTCGCGCAGCAATTTTCACAGCACTGCATTATTCACAGAGCACTGATACTATATTATCATTATGTGTTGGATGCACGTGAGAATATTTCTTTAGATGGAAGGAATGAAAAATTGATGATTTTTTTTCAAATGAGAGCTATATGTAAACTAAGAAGTCTTGAG